ATGAAGATATGCCATTGTATAAAATCATTTCAGGGTCTATTACCACTTCTTACCTAATACTAGCAAGTCTGTATAAATTTGTCTCAGGGTCTATTATCACTCTTTACCTGATTCTGGCATGTTCAGGTGGGGTACCTATCATGTTATATTTCATCCTGAGCGCCACTTGTTAGTTTCCATGAAGGAAGTGTTTATTGTGAATTTAGATTGCAGTTAAACCTCCTTATTCCAGAATCATTAATAAAACAAATGCCAGAGTATACTTGCAGAGTATTTGGCACAATTTAAAAGAACTGTACATGCTAGTCTATCCTAAGACTGTACCTTAAGTGGCATGTGGAAGGTTAAGGGTGACATTGGTGAGAGAAGGGCTGGACTATTTCACACAGATGGTTCTAATCTAGTCTAGGATATAGTTGAACATCATTGTGCCACCCCTGTACATTGTCTGTTTTTATTGCCAAGGTCATGCAGCTTTCCTCTTTGTTCATTTGTCTTATTTTACCAGAGCTTCTCCAAGGCAGGGACCATTTCATCACCACCCTCATAATCTGGCTCAGATAGCCACATGCATTACAGTTTAGTGAGTGCTTCCCATGTTCTGGCTGCTTTTCACGTGTCTTGGTTCTGAACCACATTACTGCTCTGTAAGGTAGGAATTATTATTATTGCCATTTTGCAGAAGATTAAACTGAAGCTCAGAGAACTTGAGTGTCTTGCCCAACATTCCAGAGACAGCAAGTGGAGTGAGCTGGAATTCAAACCCAAGTCTGTCTAGCTTCAGAGCAGACACTCTCCAGCATACTACAATATTTCTTCAGCACTGCCCCTAACCCATGACTAGGAGAAAGCATGGCATGAAATGGATGTGCTGTTTAAGTAAATAAGCAGATTGATAATTCAGAAGATACAAATATCCTGGGATTTATTTATTAGGACCTTTTGAATATTGTTTCATTTTAGTTTTAAAGCCTACAGTGTTTCTGCTCTCACACTGGGATGAAAGCAGGTCTTAGGGAAACTCTGGATTAAAGGAAGACTTGATTTCCCCAAGCATGCTGCAATTCCAGGAAAAGGAGAGGACATTGCACTGGACTCTGTTTTCTGAGTTGGCTCCCTATTGAAAGCTGTTCTTCCCTTCAGCTTCCAAAACTGAACGACTGCTACCTGCAGTGGCTCCCCTGTACATTCATCAGGGTAGGGCCCTTTTGAAGTACTAAGTCTTAGGGATTGAGCTGGGCCCAGGCCGTTCTTCCCTTCAGCTTCCAAAACTGAACGACTGCTACCTGCAGTGGCTCCCCTGTGCATTCATCAGGGTAGGGCCCTTTTGAAGTACTAAGTCTTAGGGATTGAGCTGGGCCCAGGCCAAGAGTGACAAGCAGGTCATCTGGTTGGATCAGATACTACCTGTATTTGCAGCAGGATCTGGGTCTACCCCTTTCAGCTGACTTCACTAAGGCTGCTTACCAGCCCAGCCAATGTTAATGACTTTCTTGCTTTCCTATTCTGAGGCAGAATGGAACCAGGGAACTAGAGGTGAAAGGTCCCCTACCCTATTATGAATTCCCTGAGCCAAACTGTTCCCAATGGTGTCCTGAGCAATTATTTTTCCTTCTAATCTAATCCAGCAAGGCTTCTCTCTGGAATCTGCAGTGAACATTATTTCTTTAAAAATGATTTTTTTTTTTTTTGGAGAGGGAAGAAACATGTTTTGCTATGCTGAAGGTAAGCAAAAAATGTATTTGACACCTCCGGTAATGGGGATTTATTTTTGCTTATCTACTCATTCATTCATTCATTCGTTTATTTGCCCATCCCTTTCTGAATCTCTTCAATTGGAAATTGTATTTTTACATGAAGCAGATTTTGATAAGTAACATAGCTACAAAGTGAGTACTAAAATCTAAATAGAGTTTAAAAATAAAAGGATTTATTACTTTACTCATTCTAATTCTTCAGATCCACTTTGTTAACTCAAGAGTTTGGAAAGTGTCTAATATTGTTCACTTAGGTGCTTCTGAAAAGCAGTAATTTTGATTTAAAACCTGTTTTAGTGGACCCTTATCTTTCTTCCTTTTTGTTTTCACAGGAAATTTTAATGAGAAGGACAGCCAGTGGATTGTGGTCTTAGAAAAGCTGCTTAGATGATGTCTGTTTCCCGTGCTATAAACACATGGCAGAGCTGTAAGTAAATGCTCAGCACTGCATGATGAATTGGATGGCTGCAGACCGGAGACAAAAAAAATAATTGTCTCATTTTCGTGGTGATTTGCTTAACTGGTGGGACCATGCCAGAACGGCTAGCGGAAATGCTCTTGGATCTCTGGACTCCATTAATAATATTATGGATTACTCTTCCCTCTTGCATTTACATGGCTCCGATGAATCAGTCTCAAGTTTTAATGAGTGGATCCCCTTTGGAACTAAACAGGCTGGGTGAAGAACAGCGGATTTTGAACCGTTCCAAAAGAGGCTGGGTTTGGAATCAAATGTTTGTTCTGGAAGAGTTTTCTGGACCTGAACCGATTCTTGTTGGCCGGGTAAGCTTCGTTTTTAAGATCCCAATTTCAGGGTCTGTTCGTGGTCTTTAGATGTTTAACATCAGACTGTGAACAGTTGTTGCCACATTTCGCTTTAAATCCTTTAGGTCAGATGGTTAGTTTACCTGTTGGTTCCCTTAGGAATATGAATAATCCCTCAGTAATAGTTTTAAATGGTCTTCTAGGGATAGCTCCACCCCCAACTTTTCCACCCCTTATAGATAAAATGCAACACTTGTGTAATGCATAAACAAATAAGGTTTTCTTTCTCACTATGCCAAAACTTTTCTCCAGTGTATAGCACTTGGAAGAGGTACACATTTTTGCCCAGTTTGACTTCCTACCACCTCAGTTACTAAGATGTTATTTTGTTTCATTTCATTTTAAAGATTTGTACATATCTTCAGTTTCAGGTGGATTTTTCTCCCTTTTTGTTTCAATCATTAACCTAGGACCCAGAAAGAGAAGTTCTTGGAGTAGATGCTTAACAGCACTTTGTACTATAATTTGATAAACTTTGCAATATGAAACTAATTCATACATGTAAGGTGGAATCAAATGTATGTAATCAAAATTTCGATTTTGTGGTGTGTGTGTATGTGTGTGTGTATGTGTTTGACTGGATTTACATATGTTTGGCAGGTTAGACAAATGTTCTTCGTGTAGACACTGGCTGCCTGCTTTCCAAAACCACACTGTGGGTTATAGAAAATTATACAATTTTATTCCTCTGAACTGTTCATAAGCTACAATTTTGACACGTACCATCGTTGTAGGTAAAATTACAAGCCTACCAATGGTTAATTTTCCCGATAAGTCAGATTCAGAGTGAATCATGCCAATGTTATTCATTTTCCAAATGCAGTGATTTAAAAGAAAAATAGGAGAACACTTCAAAAAGTTCTTGGAAACAGAATTAAAAGATAATACAAATCCCTCTGTGAACTCTTTGAAGTTCCCTCATAGAAGGGGAATTGAATATTGATCTTCAAGACTTGAGTTAACACTTTGTGTTTCACTAGGAACTTCGAAGGCATCTCTGCATCTACCCTGTTGTCTTGCAGCACAAATTAAGCCCCCCCAAGGATTATGCGTTCTCATTTCATATGATTCTGCTTGGATGAAGAAAGCCTGGATGAGGGGATATCATGAATCATTACACAGATATTTATCGAACCTTTTCTATGTGCCAGGCACTCTGTTAGGCACATGGTGACACTTCATTGAGCAAAACAATGGTCTCTGCCTTCAAGGAACTCAAATTCTGTATGATACTGTTTATTATGTGGTTAGTCCTATTATAAAAGCACTTTGTGGGCACAAACCAATTAAATCTAACAATAGCCCCCCATATTGTTATACAAGTATGTATGTATATTTATATGTGTGTGCATGTATGTCTATATATACATATACATACACATACAAACATATATGTGTATAAAACAGGTCTGCACTCTCTTTTTCATAAGTCCAAAATACAGAAATCTTTGAAGGATTTTTTTGTATGCTTTATACAAACTCAAGTAGCAGAACTGACCCGAGGCTATTTTTAGTCATAATGCATCCTATAACTGTAACTGTTCATATATTTCACTGCAGAAACATTAATGGGGTTGATTACAGGGCGTGGCCCCAGATCCTGCTGAGGGTGCTACTTAATATGTAGTTTATGTAATTAGTATGTTTCTAACATATGAAAAGTTCTGAATTCCAAAACACATCTAGCCTTGTAAGTTTTGGATATGGGCTTCTTGACCGACATTATATTTTTTTGTAGGTGCAGAAACCTGCAAAAGATGGATTAGAGGCTTAGATGGATTAATAAAG